TTGCTCAATGAATGTATAATATCAGGATCGTTTAGCAAGTCTAATTCTATTTCAGTAACCTTTAATAGAGCATCAAATGATAGACCTGGAGCTATGAAATAATGAGCTGGATCTAATTTATATTCTCTCAAACAGGTATTTATAAAGTTCTCAAACACTTCACTTAATAACAAGGTATCAACTTTTAGGTAGAGATTATAATAGTCTTTGGATGTTTTGCATTTGAATTCGTCCCAAACCTATTTAGCATATTAATATTCTTTAGCAGAGATATGTATATCATTTATTTGTTATAGAATTAACCTTCAATGGTAAACTAATTGAATTCATTTTATCATAGGTATCCATGTAATCGTATGGATATATACCTTTGTCTTGTATAAATTTAAACTGCTCATTGTTAGGGAAATGTCATTTCATTGCCATATGCTCTGATAATTTTTTTGATAATGCATCCAACGAGGAAGACATGAATCTAAAGGTCTCTAATAATCATAATCTTGAATCTCTTGCTATCTCTCGCTCTCTTACAGTTTTTTATCTATATGCGTCCCGACTTAGATAGTTTACGTAAAACTTATGCATTTTTGATCTGTTTCTTGGATAGCATTTATTTTACAGACACTTTACCTAGTTACTTAATAAAGATATGTGAATCATAATTGGATAATTTATGCATAAACACTGGCATAAAATTAGGAGTTCTAATTTTTAAATTGCACTTGAGATGCACTGGAGCTCTTTAGTCTCCCGTTATGTGTTTTCGATTTTCACCCTTCAAGTTTTTTTTTCAGTTGATAAGAACATCTTTTTTGGATATTGATTCAATAATTCGTACACACGTTTTATTTCTACTTCTATATATTTCAAAAAATTTTTGGACGCATCTTTACCATTATATATCTCCAACATTTAGAACCTATCATCTTTACATTCAGTATAGCAACAGAAACCTTTCGGCTCATGTTTCTAAATATTCCGCGTATATTTCGACTTAAGGTCTAGTTGACATGAATCAATACCTACCAAAGTCGATCCAAAATCAGCGTAAATTACAAAGGGATGCTCGATAGTCTTCTGAAAGGCATTGAACTTTAGTTTCTCATCACTAAAAACATTTTTGACGGGTGTGCTAATAGCGCATTTATCTCTATGTTTTTCAAGTAGATATTCGAGCATTAATGCATGCAGGCAGTATGGACATACATATTTAGTTCTATGACTCGCCTTATGAATAAATGGACTTAAAGACTTCATTAAGACATAATGACTTCCATTTTCATTTGTAATTAACAATAATGAAACCACATCTTCATATTTAGTTTTGGTTATTCGAAGTGGGCATAGCTCCAAACAATAATTCAAGCTTGATACATTTATGGAAATATTATTAATCTTCTCAATTTTATCGATGTCTTTAATTTTCATAGGGAATTTAATATCTTTGAAATCAAACCCTTCTGCTTTCCTCTTCAATATTTTTGTTATTCTTTTACCATTTATTCATCTCTGCAGAAGTAGCGCGTAACCACCCACTTAAATCACATGTTATCTTGGTTTTACTGTTTATTAACTTATATTTTGAATGTGTCAATTTTTCTGGTAATTCAATATACAGCTGGAACCTCTTAGAGGTTTGTATTCAACAATTTTGGTTGTGAATTTTAGCAACTTATTTAATATCCATCTAGAGGAGTCGTTCGTAAATTCTTTAATTTCATATATCAGATTATCATACAGTCCTTTAATTGTATTTAAATTTATGTGAATCTTGAAAGTTCTACAAACCTGTTTGAATTGAACCAAGCGGTATTATGGATTTTCTCGCTGCCTAATTTGAATTTATAAAACTCGACTTGCGAATTCAGCTGCTATTTAATATTATCAAATTTGACTGCCTAATTACTTGAATAACTTCAGATGTTATGTTTTTGAGAAATAACTTCGGATCGATCGTTCTTATATCATATATTAATATTTTCTGCACATTTATCATTTACAGCCGTCTTAGTATCACTTGCATACATTCAAATTCATTTTTAAATGTACATTCGAGTCTTCATGCGCTCCCACATCATCCACTTCTAAATTGCAAAGATTACAATAAAAGAAAGAACTGGCTAATATGCTTTCATTTAAACGTTTCCTATGGTGATTATGTACTCAAGGTGTGTTTTTACACATGAATTACATTAGATTATTCATCAGCTCTCATTATATATAGAAAAAAACATTTGAAAAATTCTGTTATTCTAATTCATTTATTTACTCACAATGATTGAAAATAAAACATTAAGTTATTAAGAATTATTTTACAGATTCAACGAAGTAATGCATGCTACGACTGTGTGGAAGTTCACGGCACTTCCACTGTTTAGCTACATCATCCTGATTTTTAAATAAATTAGAAATTTGCTTTTGTTTTTTGACTAGTTCGTAAAGAGATATTGATGCGTTCGTGAGTTTTTAATATTTATAAGTTAATTTGCCCAGCCATCGCAAACGGTTAGCGTCTTAAATACTCGCGGGCGTACGTCGCTTCCAGACTATTCTGCATTCAACTTTCCATGGAAATGAGCTTTCATGCTAGGTGTGCGATGTGAGCATACTCCATCACTGATATCGGTTATCTTCGCTGGCGTACACCACACGCATAGTCAATCACCGTCAGCATTGTCGTAATTGGCGCATGCTTCACCCTCAACTTCCATGAGCTGCTTGCGGTTTGCGCCTCGTTAATCACCACCCCACAGCTCCTCCCACGTCTGCGCCCAATGACGCACGACCTGCACAAACCTCTGCATATCCTTGGGATCGAATCCTGGGGTAGCGACTACGAAGACGAGTCGAAAAAGGTCTCGCACTTTGCTTTCAAGGTAAATAAAACACGGTAGTAAATCGGTGAGTTTACTGAAATAACTTTTTCGCTATCGATGAAGAACCAGTTGCATAATTCTTGATAAAGTTGCATAATTCTTGATGCCGCAGCAGGTGTGGTGGCGTAAACGGCAGTCAGCGATGCATTGAGAGGCTCGGGAATCCCGTTAGAGGCTGACCTTGACGTGCAACGTTCTGCATCTCACCTGCTTATCTAAGACTTCTAATGGTCTCACTTTCACTGTTTAGTTAACTCGCGGTGATTTTGACAATGTTAGTTATCTGCTTTCGCTTCCTAAATAGTTGATGCAAAGATATTGATACGTCCATGAGTTTCCGAATCTGTATGAATTCGATAGCCATACGAAGGCTTTAATGGGTATGAACCTTTCGTTGCAGGAGAGAGAGTAGGGGTAATACTGCGAGAAAAGAGTGTGTCATAGCTGAAAACTCAGTATTTAATGAGCTGTAAAAAAATGGAGTGTGCTTGTGAAATTAAATAGGTAACTATGCTAAACTAAGGCTCTGTTCAATCTAGTTGAGTAAGCTTGGTTATGGGCAGCTGTTCTGCTGACCCAGGTTAAGTCCCAGGTTTTTAATAACGAATAGTTTATGAAATTTAGTAACCGCAGTGATTTAAAAATAGTGAGTGCAAAATAGTGGTCGACCGTGGGTAAAAAATCGTTTACAAAATTTGGATGGTCAAGATACGAGGTAAGATTGTGGCTCAGGTTTTTGATCGAAAGACAGCGCTCAAATTTTTGATGGTCAAGATTCTAAATAAAATTGTAGGTAAATCACCAGATTTTATTCGGGGGTAATCGGTCAATTTAGAGCGGTAAGTCGGTTCAGCACCGCTATAAGCTAAGTTACACGCGAAGAGGGATTTGGACGAGACTTAATCGAGAGAGACGAGTGCTAGGAAAGTGTATTTAAGTGTAAATATCTATAAGTCGCAACTGTAGAATAAATGGAATACAATACGAATCATGATAAAGTCGATATTAGGCGCAATCAATAAACAACGGCAATATTACAAGTGTGAGGAACAATTCAGCAGCTATTTAAGGGCTTATCCCAAACGTACGTTGGTGGACAAGGCTGTAGTGAAGGTTACAGTTAACTGAAATAATGCAGAAAAAAGTCAATTTAGAAATAATTCGGAAGTTTACGAAAGGCTTGATTATATTAGAAAACTTAAAAATTTAACTAATTATAACTAAGTTTAATATTGGATGTCTCTACTGGTAATATTCGGGTAAGATTTTGGATAAAATGACCAGGTTTAATTCGGGGTAATTGGTCAATTTTGATGGGCAATTTTCGAAGTAAGATTGTGGGTGAATGATCGGTACCCTGTTAAGCTGTTTATGCAGATTGTGATCATATGCTCGGTCTCTATCTTACTACTATGCTATCTGAAACCTAACCCCAGTTGTTGTGAGCTAGAAGTGACCGTCTGGTGGTGCACGGCCGGATTCATGCAGTTCCACTGGCAAGCTGGGCTGATTGACCGCAGTCCGTTATCCGCTAGTTACAGCTCGAGCTAAAGTCAGGGTATGAAGTGATGATTCGATGCAACGTTCAAAGGTGGACGATCATTACACTCTGGACTATTCGCTACAGAATTTGGTGGCGTACAGCTCTTGATATGTAAAGCAAGATGATGTCGTGGGCTGGTTACTGACGGTAGGATTGAAACGCGGCTGATTGGTGGCCTTACAGAAATATGCTGGGCGTTCTATTTAGGGCTAATGAGTGGATTGATGCAAAAAATTGGTGGTGCACGGCGGCACTTCCCCCAGCAATAGGAATAGGAGTGTTTTTGGGCGTGGGGTGTGGGCGTATGTGGAAGAGTTGGGCGTGGGGGCCTGGGTGTGGAGTTTGTGAGCAGGGGCATTGGGAGTGCTTTTTTGGGAGGGGAAAAGCAGGGGCGACCCCTTGCTTTTCCCCTCTACCTCTCCTCTTCCTTCCATCGCCCTGAGGGGTGCAGGTTCTTACCTGCACTTACAGGTTCTTACCTGTACCTACAGGTTCTTACCAGCAGCAGCATGATTTTCACTTGCTCCTGCAGGATTCTAACCTGCACCGCAAGTTTTTTACCTGCACCCACAGGTTCTTACCCGCTGTTGCGCAGTGGCTTGACGAGGTCGTCGTGAGGCTCATAGCCATAGTCGTCGTAGGAGCGGAGCCTCAGCTCGACCTCAACGCCCCTCGCAGCCGCCACGAGCGCCCCCCACGGCGCCCCCCTCAGGGCCTCGGCCTTCATGCGCACCTCCACACGAGATGGACGACCATGTCGCAGCAAGAGAGGTACAACGGCCACATGGCGACCTGCGGGCAACCACAACGTAACCACCAAAGCCAAACAGGCAAAAAATCAAGAGTTTTCATTTGGTCAGAATTTCGCTTGGTTTTCACCCGCGGCAATCAGCGTTAGTCAGTATCTGACTAACGCAACTGTCGTAGCGTCAGCGACTACCGCCACATCCAACACGTTACCTATCAAAATCAACACGTCACCCATCACACCCAACACGTCACCGATCACACCCAAACTAGTTAACGTCACCCACCTTCCTTGACGTTCCAGCTCACGCCCCCGACGAGGTCGGCCAATATCCCAGCGTCAGGGCAGCGTGCGACGCAGTCCATCACATCGCGGACGCCGGTGACCTGGGCCTCCCTTAGGGCCTCCTTCAGCTGCGGCCACCAATCCGTGAGTTGGCGGGGGCTGTCCCTACTGAGGGCCGCCACCACGTACAGCAACACTTCCAGCAGCCTGGGGGATCACAAGTGGGGGGGGATCCATTGGGGGAGTCAAGCTTGTACGTCGTCTGCAGCTTGTGAAATGTTTTGGGTTCATGCATGTACAGGGTGCCCCCAAAAAAAGTTGGTAAAAGTAAAGGCTTATAACTCAAAAAGTGTTAAACGTAGAAAGATTAAATAAGAACCACATGAAAGAGTATAACTTCAAGTTATATTTGGTATCCATGTTAGCAAAGTTTTTCATATATTTCATAGAGAAATCTCATAATTTCATCTCATATATTTCATACTCATTATTTTTTTCAAGATCAAGATTCCCCTTACAATGCAGCTAAAATCTGAACAACGAGTTTCCTTGTCGAAAAATTTTATTCATATATTGAATTCAACAGCGAGGAGGTCATTTTGAACATTTATTGTAATCTGACTAAAACTTGAAGTTATACTCTTTCATGTGGTTTTTATTTCATCTTTCTACGTTTAATACTTTTTGAGTTAAAAGCCTTTACTTTTACCAACTATTTTTGGGGTCACCTGTATAACGCTAAGAAATGTGGCATGCAGCTCATGCCATCATGCAGAGCAGCTTGCAGCTCATGCCATCAGAGGGGCTTGCATCTAAGTAGGAGAAAAAATACAATAGTAAGTAGGAGGGCAAATACAATGTAAGTAAGAGGGTAGATACAATAGTAAGTAGGAGGGTAAATACAATAGTAAGTAGGAGGGCAAATGCAATAGTAAATTGGAGGTGTAGGAGCAGCAGTGTGGCGTGGGAAGAGTGGTTAGTAAGCGGAGTATGGGGGGAGGCCGAGGGAAGGAGGAGAGGCACATTATATGAAAAGGGATAATTGATAACATAATTTGAAACTCGGCAATACGGAGACGACATATAAAACGTGTAAATCAACACGAGTTTGACATATTCATCCAAGAGACCCAGCGGATGTCATCAACTCAATGCTTCAGGCCTCAGACTCCGCGGTTATTGAAATATTTTTAAATGCTGGCGTTGCGAGGTCAGCGACTCCGTTGAGTTATACCACGGCATAGGCCATGTGCTGCATATTGCTCTTGGCTGAGAACGTTGTGCTGCTCACTGCTCATGGCTGAGAGCTTTGTGCTGCTCACTGTTCATGGCTGAGAACTTTGTGCTGCTACCTGCTCATGGCTATAAGAGCTTTGCGCTGCTCACGGCTCGATCATGGCTGAGAGCTCTACGCTGCTCACTGCTCATGGCTGGGATCTTTATGCTGCTCTCTGCTCGTTGCGTGCAGGTATTGCAGCCTATTTAGCACCTATACTAACCTTGACATTTCCTCCGTAGGGACTCCCAGGATGCTGTTGAGAGGGTCGGCGCTCCCTCCAATGATGCGCTGAACGATGTTATGACCAGCGAACATTTCCTGCTCACTCTTGTGCTTGAATTCATAGCTTGAACTACTGTTCAAACTTAAAGGTTTGTTCTCCTTCAGCACCACTGAGAGTACAACTGCAGGATCGACCTCGTCATCACCCTTCAATTCAACTTGACACTTACGCTTCATGGCACAAAACTCTGCCTCTGAGAGAGTCACGACATTGTCACGGAGCAACTTTACCGCTTCAGCCCCGACCAGAGCGAACATGTCGTCCACCAGGACGTCCAAGTCCTTTTCAATCACGCCCGCTAGTTTATTTTGGATGAGCTTCCTGTACAGGCGTAGCTTAGAAGGCGCTACGTCCCCGGGCGTCCGCCACGAGGATATCTCTTCAGGGAGATGCCTATGCATCCCACAGAAATGAACCAAGTTGATGGGTTCACAGAATTGACTTCTGACATCTTCAGTGAGAAACTCGAAGCTCCTCATCATGTCCCCAGTCGAAGTGCCGTCACTCAAAGACTCTTCATACCGCCTCAAGAATTCAAGTTGTTCGGCAAGCTTCTTGAGCGGCATGATCTCGTACCGATTAAAGCTGACATCGTAGGGCTTCAGCAGCGATTCCAGCTTCTCTTTCACGGCATGAGGACGAGTCGTGATCAACACACGACAGTTGGTGCCCCAAGTCTTCTCAAAAATCTCTGTTACGACTTTTTTAGAAACTTTGTTGACTTCATCGAACCCATCGATGATGAATAAGACATCGAGACGCCGGAGAGCCATGAGGACATTTTCTTTCCCTAGTTCGGTGCACAGGTCTTCGTAGTGCTGCTGGATGACGTCACTCAGGTTTGGTGTGGAGCGATCTCTGCACTCGAAGAAGATGATTTGGGTAAAAGACCTCAAGTAATCAGTAACCCCAGGCTGAGGGATAAAAAACTGCAGTACGATGTTTTTGACGAGGGTTGTTTTACCTGCGCCGGCAACGCCTGTTACAACCATGACCTTGTTTTGAGCTTCAAATATTTTGGTGTAGGAAACTATTTTCTCTCCGCCGTCTTCTCTCACATTGATGTCGAGGGCGTGGAACACGGCCTGACGTTGAACCGTATCCTCTTTCAGCAAAAGTTTCTCATGCTTAAGCCTGGCCTCCCAGAGAAGTCTCACGGCTTGTTTACCGCTCAGTGTCAACTTCGTACACCAGTAATAAATGTTTTGGCTGTCCATTCTTTTCACTTTTTCGATTTCTTTTTTGAGGTTTCGTACCTCGGCATCAACATCTGTCTGGGGAAGAGCATAGAACCTCCCCGCTTCCCGCACCAGCTCCTCTAGCGCTGCTGTCAAATCAGTGAATTTCTGCGCGTCGACTGTGTTGTGCAAGTCGTGCATGACGTCATTGCGCAGCTCCTTGACGGCGCGCAACTTGGCGAGCAACGCTGCAGAATCCCTGACGGTGCCACCCTTACCGAGATCAAAAAGTTTTGTGAGGAGAAGGAAGAGCGGCGTGACATCTAGAGTGGTGGGATTTTTCGAATCTTCTAGAATTTTTGATGAAAATCCCATTAGATTTTTCCACTCTCTGTTGCTGTAAGCACTTCCACGTCTCCGTTCCATCAATTGCCTGTAGGTCTCGTTGCTTCGTTTGTCGTCACACTCCTTGTCTAGCGTGGACTGCATGACCCTGGGGCTCAGGTCCAAGTTACCGACAATGTTGCGGTAAATTCTAATGATTTTGTCGTCCATAGTGACAGCTGGTACAGCAGGAGCGGTGCCGGCAATAGCACCTGTGCCGGCCATCTTGTGGGATCTGTTGAGACGAGAAATTATTCGCGGATATAAAGACGAAATTCATATAAATATTAGCCAGATAGGCTTGGTTGTAATATCATTTCATATGCAAAACATTCCTCTAAATTGAAACTAGTATTGGTTCTTTACGCAATTAAATGACTTTAATAATGAATATAAGAGATAATTATAAAATCTTATTAGGTGTATGAATTAGATCTAATCACCTGAAAAATGGAATATTTGAAGTGAAATCCTTTGGATAATGGAATAATCAAGCGCAAGTTTGGTCGATAACAGAACATTTGCGCAGAGTACTTAAGGAAAAATAGATATTTGATAGGCAGTAATTCCAAGGGGAGATGTGTTGTAATAAAGCAGGTATTAAAGAAGGCTACCAGCAGTCCAAGGGAAAAGTGCTGTAATAAAGCAGGCATTAAAGAAGGCTACCAGCAGCCCAGGGGAGAAGTTCTGTAATAAAACAGGCAATAAAGAAGTCTACTTGCAGTCTAGGGTGAGAAGTGCTGCTCGTCAATATCATCTTGTGGTATAAATGATCTAATTCAACCATAATATGATTTCAACCATATGAGCGGTATATTTTTAATTAAATTCAGATGGCGAACAATCAGCATCAATCAAGTGCCTCAATAAAACAGTTGGAGAGTATCGATAAAAAGCGTTGGAGATATAATATATAATATCTTCGTACAATAGAGCTGAGCAGTAACGGCGATGAGGGCTGCAAATAACGGCTAGAGGATAGCAGATACCGGCGGATATAGATATCAGATAACAGATAGCTGCAATAGCCTAATTAAATAATAAACCCTCTACCTGTTAAAACATCTCACACTAACATCTCAAGCATCTCAACCTGAGTGTTGTATCCACGATGCGAAACTGGAACTTACATGAGGCATGCGTGTTGTGCCCACGATACGAGACTGGAACTTACGTGAGGCATGCGTGTTGTGCCCACGATACGAGACTGGAATTGTTGTATCCACGAGACGAGACTGGAACTTACGTGAGGCATGCGTGTTGTATCCAAGATACGAGACTGGAACTTACGTGAGGCATGCGTGTTGTACCCACGATACGAGACTGGAACTTACGTGTGGTGATCGCGTATCTCAGATGATTGACACGCAGCGCTGATAAGCGCCAACACTGCAAATTTTGACTGGTGTTTTATTGAATTTAACGTAAAATGCTTTGCTAATGTGATCCCTGCTTTGCTAATGTGATCCCTGCTTTGCTAATGTGAAAATGCTTTGCTAATGTGATCCCTCAGGAATACTCATGGTCAAGCTTGTGGTGACAGCGATGATGTGTTCAGCCTTTATGACACCGAGCGACCGATGGCCTTCATCGACAAGTGGGACATCGACTGAGAATTGACCAGGGCATGAACTGGTAAAAGAAGGAGACCTCTTAAGGTACCGGAGACTGCATTGATTTTTCCGGCAACAAAACCTTGTCTTCGGACATCAAAACCTTGTCTTCCGGCAACAAAACCTTGTCTTCCGGCAACAAAACCTTATCTTCTGGCAACAAAACCTTGTAATCCAGCAACAATGCCTTGTCTTCCGGCAACAAACCTTTTTACAGGAAAAAAATTTTCTTCCGGTAACAAATCCTTGTCTTCCGGCAGAAAAAACTTGTCTTCCGGCAACAAAACCTTGGCCTGAAATAATGACCTATAATAGAAAGCATTTTTTCGATGATACCAATCGTACCTATCACAATTTTCGACATCAGCCTTCACGTGACCACCTCCCACTTCACAAAAGTCCGGAAAGTTCAACACACAATCAAGTTGCCTTCTGGAAGTTTTTGAGGAAGTTTCCCACCTCCTCCCTCACTCTTGAGACGAGCGGGATATTATTTTATGTTTCGTATGTGGCTTTAGGTTCTGTTGATGATTTCATGGGAAGTTTGAATGAGGGTTCGAATTGTGAGAAGATTTAATTATATGGATGAGGTTATACGGATGAGGTTATATGATTGATCTGACTGCAGATCTCAGTTGAGGGTTAAGTTATTATGTAGGTAGGATTCCTTACATTTAGTTATTATTTAGGTAGGATTCCTTACATTTCCCTTCTCTGTCTCTCTCGTGCGGGCGGCCGACGTCCCGTGTAAGCGACCTCTTGTTCGAGTGTCTTCGTTTCTGTTGCTTTTCACCTGTCCCTCCTTGTCACTTCGTCTCTTTGAGATGCTAAAGCTGCTTCTTTCGAGCAAGCTTCGGCGGGCTGGACATGTGAGACCTTCCACCCCTTGTAGGTGATGATTAATTTGAGATTTTTTAATAATTTGAGACCTACCGCCTAGCTGGCGATGCTATATTTTGACCTCCTATGCGAAATATCTTGATAGCTCAAGCGCTAGCAAACCATTATACTACTACTACTTGTATGGATGAGGTTATATGGATGAGGTTGTATGGGTGGTGTTATATGGATGAGGTTAAAGGTTACATGGATGAGGTTACATGGATGAGGTTATATGGATGAGGTTATGTGGTCATGGGCAAGGTTAAATGTTGAGGTCATATGGACAGAGCTGGGCAGCGCTACTTTGAAATGTAGCGCCGCTACCGCTACCGCTACATGCTCTAAATGTAGCGGGCGCTACCGCTACCGCTACATCCACTAGATTGTAACGGGCGCTACCGCTACCGCTACAGTAAAATGTAGCGCGCTACATTAGCC